GATTCCTGTCTACAAGCGCAGGCTTCTTTACTGAACGGTGGCCGATAATCGAGCTATTGTTTAAGGGTCAGATAAAGCTCGAGCCATGCCAGATTGGTCTCCTTTCAGGAGTTTGATTCAAATTTTCCGACGAGTTTCTCCGACCTTTTCATATCGGAGTTCCACCTCGGGGAACAAACCCCACAACTGACGGCGAAATTAACGTAAGTATTTTTTTTAATACTCACCGTTTTCTGATGAGGACTATTACCGCCCATTTGCTGAAAGGAAACATGCATTTATTAAACAGTTTGTTAGAAAGCCGTTAACTAAAATAACAAAATCTCGACCAATCAGGCAGCGTGCAGGTTTTTCGCAGTCATTGTCCAATCACAGATGATGTGGTTCGCCAGTGCTTATTAACGGCGGGCAGGTTTGATGCCATCAGCTAGTAGACTTAATACAATCATTAAAAGTTAATCATTTCTTAAATTAATTAAAGGAGCTCTGTCACAGTATTTTGGCCATGCACAAAATTACCTTTACTGAAGGAAACCTAAAAATAGTACTTTACTATGATGAAAAAAAAAACCCACCAAAGATGTAATAATAAACCATAGATGTAATAATAAACCAGAAGGATAACATGGACAACAAACCACGAACTTTAAAAATTTAGGCTAAATTTTTCAAGATGGGCAAATTGTGACATAGCACCAGAAAAATAGTGATATAAAATAGTTAAAGATAAAAAAACATACGGCGTGGAGGGTGACTGGGAACCCGACTGGAGTAAAGGACAAAATCAATGCTGATCATAATGTGTCCACACTAAGTCGGAGAAATTTTAAAACGCAGCTTAATTTCTACGGTTAGGCCTACCGTCCACACTAATCCGTCACGAAAACAGAGCTTTTCGGAAACGCTCTTCAAACCGGAGGAATTCGAAAAAGCCGGCTTTTCGTTTTCGCGCGGAAAATATTTTGAAAACGAAGCTTTTCGAAAACGATGACGTCATGATAGTCGTATGATTTCCCCGACCGAGTTTTCCTCAAACACA